AATAGTCCAAAAGAAGTCAGAGGAGCAGAACTCATCTGAATGTTTTAAATTGACTCTATGTTTCAAACTTTTTCTAAAACCAAAGTATATTATTTTATCTGCTGTTTTTATAACAAAATCACATACACTAGAATAATTATTTTAATTATAAAGACAGAATCTAAGTTAGTCAAAACCAGCTTTATATTTTCACTTTCTTACTGAAAAATATTCAGAATCATGAGATCCTTAAATATTTGCAAGGGTACGCTGTGACCTCTAAAACTTTACAGAAGTCGGAGTTTATCATCTCCTCAAAAAGACTGTGATTTATTACAATGACATGTGTTCTCTACCACTCTCATATTAGCACTAAAGCTACAGTGGAAAATAAAGACACGTAAGTCTTCAGGCCTCCAACCTCGCCTCCTCAGTTGCTTAGTGCTTTAGTCGTAAGTATTAGTAAAATGTGACGTTGAAATTTAATCTGTAAGTAAATGCCATTTATATTGCCTCCATTTTTGATAAGTACATCAGTATAAAGGACTTACCCATATCTACAGGTTTATTGAGTAAGCATCTGAACACAAACCCTTCCATTTACAGCATCTAGTGTAACATTCCTGCACTTGCCCTCTCCAACATGTTCCTGTCCCAACACATTCTTGTTACTGCCTGCAAGAGATTGTAAGCTCAATGCCAAACTCTGAATGGACAGAGATGAAAGCGGAGAAAAACAATGGAGAAAAGACAGAAAATGGTTGATTATCCTGGCTCTAACCATTAGCAGGTAAAAGACTTTATGAAGATCACCGAGGAAGAAGTTAAAAAAGTTTTAAGGAAACTGTAACATTTTCAAACGTGAAAACAACCCACAATACCAACTGGGATTTAGATTCATTAAGAAGAGCTCCAAGTATCAACAAACACACTGGAACTAGAGCTGGCCTGCAGATCCCACACTCAGCACGGCCGCCCGTACCTACCCCAGGTGAGTGCTCCTATGCAGTTAGAAAACAAAAAGTAAACTGCTACTTAAAGGGAAAAAGCAGATTTTTAAGGATAAAGTATCCTTCTGAATATGTAATTTGTTTTACTCAACCATAACAATATGCTTTTTGTAGGGGGAAAAAAACATTGTTTCCATTAAATTAAAGCTACCTCAAGGCAATGTTAAGGCACAGTGGGTAGAGCCACAGTCAGCAACACGGGCATTCATGTTGTGGCACCCCACTTCTAAGCCAGCTTCCGGTTAATGGTCTGAGGAAAGCCCCTGCGATCTATGCAGGAAATCCAGCTAAAGCTCCCGCCTGTGGCCTGCCCCAATCTGCCTGTTGCAGCTTTCACCGGAGTGAACCAGCGCTCTCTCACTCTCTCCTCTTTCAAACAGATACAATCTTAAAAATAATAAAAAGAAGCCAGTTCAAGCTTGAAAGCGGGAATTTAACTGCAGTTTACTAAGATTTCAGACTACTTCAAGGAAAAATATTAAAACTATTTTGCCTTTACCCTTTTTATATATGAAAAACATTTTACACAGAGAATTTAAAAATGCATTTTACATGGTCCACTGTTACCTTCTTCCATTATTACTTCTTTTAAAAGCAAGGGTCCATAAATTATTTTGTGTTGCCCTCCCTGCAAGGTAACCACACAAGGGACCTGAAATTCAATAAATTTATAGCAGGCTAATTCATACACTGATAATTTTGTGTGACTCACAAATGATGTTATAGATCCAATTGGATCCTTGCAGGAAAAAAACCCTGCTTTAAAAGGTAATGCATCAACTGATGTTAAGATAACTTCTCAAAAACGAATATGCTACTTCATGTAAGCTGGATTTGTATTTCTGTTTCCTCCCACCTGTCTAATGCCACAATAGTTCAAACTTAATATTAAATGACTCAATGCTTTTCAAATTGAACTGAATAAAAGATCAGGCATTTAGTATGGATGGATGCAAAAAAACTTTTTTTAAAGAGAGAAAAAAAAAGAGGAAAGAATATTAATTCCATGTATTTAAAAACAGCAATAGAGCCCAGCACTATGGCTTAGTGGCTAAATTATAGCCTTGCAAGCACTGGGACCCCCATAAGGACACTGGCTCGTGTCCCGGCTGCTCTAGTTCCCATCCAGCTCCCTGCTTGTGGCCTGGGAAAGCAGTTGAGGACAGCTCAAAGCCTTGGGATCCTGCACCCACATGGGAGACCCAGAAGAAGCTCCTGGCTCCTGGCTTTGGTTCCGCTCAGCTCGAGCAGCTGCATTCACTTGGGAAGTGAATCATTGGACGGAAGATCTTCCTTTCTGTAGTTCCTTTTCTCTGTAAATTTGACTTTACAAGGAAAACGAATCCTTAGAAACAAAAACAACAACACTGATTTGAGGGGTAGAGGGACTGAGACAGAAGGACCGCAAGACAAAAATAGGACCCTCTACCGCCCCCCCAGGGCCCATGGCAGTCAACGCTGGCCTCTGCTGCGGGTGGCAAGGGCCCAACCACGACAGCAAGCATTCACCGCCCCTTAGGTCTGCACTGCAGGGAGCTGGAGTTGAGAGCTGCACAGGGGCTTCAAGCCCGGCTCTCCAGGAAGAACGCGGGCATCCCAGGTACCAGATCACTTCCACCCTCATCACTGCGTGTCCAATGATGAATTCTTCTCTATCGGAATGTCAAAGTTCTCAAGAATAAGATGATCTGATACGTGTATCTGAGGCAAAACCAAAACTTCCTTGAATTTACAGAAAATACAAAATATAAGTAGAAGGAAAGGAAGAAAAATGTTACCTATTTAGAAATAAAATTTTTTACATTTCATACCCCATATCTTAGCAATTTAATAGTTTCCCTATGAAAAACCACTTAGAGCTTAACTTAAGGCTTTCCCAAACCTGACTAGTTCTTGAAAACTACTGATGGTAATAAGCAAATTAATAAAAAAAGCACTTATTTGAATTAACTAGTATGTGAATTTATAATATCAATGATTGTCTTAATTAAAATAGTCACACAAATGAGCTCATGACAAACTGATGACATTTCAATGACCATCATGATGATTATTTCAGCATGTTTCATTACAACAGACTATTACCACACCTTTAAAAATTGTATTTCAGTACACAGATACACCTGTGTGCACAGTCGTCCATTTTGAAGCACTTAGCAAGCCCCTGGTAAGGAGGCCCACCTTCCGGTATTCCAGTCTTAAAGCACAGAATACCAGAGATGCATTCAGGCATGGTTTTAAAAGTAGTTTCTTTATTACTGTGATCTTTTAAATTACAGGCTCATAAATTTAACAGCTACTACCTTAGGGAACATTTGGCCACCCAAAGTAAGTTTCTCATTAGTATCAAAATTATGTTATTACCTCTGAAAACTACCAAAAGAAATATGAAACTATGTACTGAACTGGAAGCTGGCTGAATTTTAACTGTTGGTTGAGAAGTGAGAGAACACTTTTCATGAATTAACTAGTTGGTCACAAAGCCAGCGAGGTGGAAGAACATTTGTAACTAACTCCAGACCCCCATCCCAGAGCTCATCAGAATGAATTGAAACACTCCGTTCATCACAGATCCCCAGCTGTGCGCCCGAGAGCACCGGCCTCTCTGGCTTCAGTGTGCACTGAGAGAGCTGACTGCCCCGTGCTGTCCCTCTGCTGCACAACCTGAGGCAGTCCTTCTCGGCAGGGAGCACTTCCACCCTGCCCCCAGTGGACATCTGGCAACATCTGGAGACATTTTTTACTTCCACAGTAGGAAGAATGCTAGTGCCTGGCCTGAAGCTGTCCCTCAAACCCGCCCTGAACTTTGTGCGCTCTCCTTCTGATGCAAGGACCAATTAAGGTCCCCAAAAGGACCATCCCTGACATGTGGCTTGGAAGAGTACGGCCAAGTAACTACCTTCCCACCTGGAGCTGCACCAGAACAGAAGCTAAGAAAAAGGCCATGAAGCTGGCAGCCAGGGCAGTATGCTGAGCTCTTACCCAGACACTAAGAAACAAAACAGTATGCAGTCAAATGCTGTGACTAAATGAGATTTCTCAACCTACACTGGCAACCCAGGAGGTTGACTTCATGCAAATCAATCAAAAGCAAATCTACAAAATGCTTACTCAGCTTGTGGGGAATCTGCCATGAGGTTTGAAGTCCTAGTGTTGCTAACACACTGGGCCCCTGATCCAACAACCAGGCTGCAGAAGCAGCAGACAGCACCTGCAAGGGAGCCTCTGCAGTGTGCCTGCTGGTCCAGGACGCTGGCAGGCTGAGGATGTCAGCAGCAAGATGAATGCCACGACAGCCAGGCTAGGAGCCAGCTAACCTGAAGGAGAAACACCCGGCCCTGCAGAGGGGCATCCTCCTGACTCCCCCTACAGGTAGGGACCCCCGTGTACTGTCTCCCTTCTCTCCTGTCCAAACTGGGGTTTAATGTTAAGTGTAAGGGAAACACTGCAGGCAGAGGGGAGATACACAGCCAGCCAGCAGAGGAAGCAACAGGCAGTCCGGACAGCAGCACCCTGCCCTCTGCCACAGCAGGCTAAGCTACAGCGGGATTTCAGGTGGAACACTGAGTGGTGAGGATGCTCTACAGGAAAAGACTACATTAACACCGAGAAACTTACTGACGTGCTTTCTGACAGAGAGCAAAAAGAGAAATCCACGTCAAAAGTTACCTTATGCTTGGTCACTGGCATGAATCCTCTCTCCGATCCACCAGCACAGCTCATTTTAAATACACAATGGTGCTGCTACTCTCTCGACATCTGACACTCTAGACAACCGTTTCCAGTTCTCAAACCCTTAAAATGAATGTATGACTAACTCTGCCTAGTTTTCCATCTCAAACCTAAAAACTCTGAACAGTAAGAAAACTGAGAAAAAAAAAAGGCATATGTATATTGCAGTGTGAGGACTGATGTTCGTGCCACAACCAAGGCAGTCCACGGCAGTGGGTCAGCATGCTCACGGGCAAGGCTACGTGTCTGACTTAGGTCCAAGTTCCAGACTTTGCATACCATTTCTGTAAGTAGTCCAGGGCCTCCAAACGAGCACCAATCTCAAAAGTGATTCCAGGACGGGTTGGAGGTTTCCTACTCATCCTGAGGGGGCGTCCTCCGATAAGCTCTCTTCACTACCTCAAAAGCGGAAAAGACAGTTAGTTGCCAGCATGCAACAGGGAGGGAGGAGAGAGGGGAGACTGCACAACACACAAGGCACACACTTGCCAAAGGAAAGCACGGTGCAATTTGCAGGCATTCTTGATAATTATTGTTTTTAATGACACAGAAAAGATGAACTACTTGGAAATAATAGATGGCTCCTCGAAACTTGCTAATGACTAAAATGCTTCATTTTATTTTTTTCACTTGGAATGTCCAAGAAAAGTGTCCACAAAGACAGTTGAAAATGCTTTTCTTTCTGAAAGATGAAGAAAGTTGTAATATAGCTACCGAAATTCCTCAGAGAAAAAGTTAATCCAATTTTTTCAGTTAGTTTCAAGAAATGTTTACCGAATGTGTTGCAATAAAAACACCACCCAAGACGCTGGAAGCGACCGTGGTCGGAGGCCACGCTGCAGAACTGTGCCAGCAAGGGCTCTGACAACACTGCGGAGACTGTCCGCCGCCTGGAACTCACCTGGGCAGCGCTGACTCAACCATGTCAACAGACTCCAAGGAAACTTCACCTTCAACAAGCAAAAACATGGACTTCCTATACTCTGAGAACTCATTTCTAGAAAACCTCAATGTGCAGTGTCCACACGGATAATAAAAGTGGTGGTAATGTTACAACCAGAAGCTAGAGGAGGCATCTTCCGGTCACTCAACTGTGAAGTCTTCACCGACCTTGTGGGAACAGGCGCGTGAGCAGGAGGCTTGAGGGGCCTCCATCTACAAGGGGTATACTGTGACAGCGCCTGACAAGACACACAGGCCGCCAGGAGGGAAGCCTCTCAGGCACGCAGATTCCTAATACATGAAAAAAATTAAGATTCCTAAGACTGTGGTCTCTGTAGCCAAAGCTTTTTAAAAATAACTGCCATCTTTTATATAATGGTTTGGTCCCAATTTAAAACAGACAAAACCACAGCAGTAAATGTAAAGTTCCAAGCGTTCCTTCTGTCTTGTTTGAAAGAACCCCCTAGGTAGGGGGCAGAACACTCCTGGTGAACACAGAGGCAAACTTTAAGCCCAGTGGGCAGGCGGATGGGGGGGGAAGGGGGCCTGGCATCCACCAAGATGAGCCAGTTCAAGGGTGACTTGAAGTTTAGCCAGAATATCCTCGGGGCACAGGAACTAATATGTTAAGAGGTCTTGTCCTACGAAACAGTTATTTCAAAGTTATTTCAACGCTGCTGCAGAAATTGACAGGCCCTTTCTGTTCCTCCTATCAAAAACTCTGAAGGCAGTTCACCAACTACAGTAACTTTTTTTTTTTTTAGGATCAAACTTCAGAGTCAGGAGGCTGGAGCTCCAGGTGACACTCCAGGACGAAGTACCACAAAAGCAAAGATTTGTTCTTGGCAGGGGGGCGGTGGGTGAGTGCGGGGAAGAGGCCCGGAGTGCACTAACGAACGGTAACAAAGTAACACTATCTGCGGGTGGAAAAAGTGGCAACTGAAAAGAAGCCGCAGGGCAAGCGTGGGAGTTACAAACTGGCCAGCCAGCAAGCCAAGAACAAAGACCAGAAACGGAGGGACCGGTGCAAGTTGTAGGGGAGATGACAAGTGGAGGCAAAGCAAATGTTAGCAAGATGAAAGTGAAGCAGAAAATCAGAAAAAGGCGGTGAGACAAAAAAACAAACAAACAAACAAACAAAACCCAAAGGCTGGGAGTGGCAGGAAGGCTCCCGCGGGTTTGACAGCCCGGGGCCCGGCGGGGGACGCAGGGAGGGGGCGCCCAGACAATGGGGCCGGGAGTGCGGGCCCGGGCCCGGGAGGGGAGCGGCCCGGCGGCCTCGGGGCCCCGCCGCCGCCTCTTACCGCCTCGGCCTCCTCTCCGCACAGCGGCCGGGCCGTCCGGGGGCGAGCCGGGCACCAGCAGGGCGGCCAGCCCGGGCCTCCTCCGCCTCCGCCCGGGCAGCGAGCAGCAGCGCGGCGAGCCGGGGTGCGGGCGCCGAGCCGCGCCGATCCAGTCCGCGCGGGATTGAGCGGGGTCCGACCCTCAGACCCGCTCGGAGTCCGCTGCCATCGCCGCTGCCTCCGCCGCCGCCACCGGACAGCCCTGACGCGACGCCGGGCACCGCGACGTCACCCGGCCGCGACGCGCCGGAAGCGGGCGGCCGCCGGGCACGTGACCCGCGAGGGTTGGGCCCGGACCGCGCCGCCGATTGGACGAGCCGACGAGGAAAGGCGGAGCTTCTGCGGGAGAGTGTCCGGTTAATGGAGGGAGGAACGCGAGCTGTAATCCCTCATTGGCCATTGTCAAGTATCAGAAGAGGCCACTGACTGTGACTGTTGGTGCGATGGCAGGCAGGTGCCCCAAACATGGATCCTGGGCAAATTTACAAACCACTACACAACTTTCTTAGTTACCCACTGCCCCTCACTTTTAGAGTGAATGGACACTGTTAAAAGTGCAGTAAATGTTTCCTCAATGGCTAATCTGCACACAGGGCTGTCCTGTAAATGTATTATGTAAGCTCCGCAGCTGTGCAACCCTACTGCTGCCCACAGCCTGCACATCCTTGGAATACAGCACTCATTTCTGGGGCATTGTGTCTGTGTGTGCACCAACTAGAGGCATTGATGTGACATGCACGGCTATTTTTATGGAGTACCTGCTGGGCCCATGACACAGGATTCCCGGTGGGGACAGAGAGCTGCAGATCACAAAGGACTCTTGATATGAAACTTCTCTTTCCACTGGTCTACACTGGCTCTCAACTTCTCTAAGAACCACATCGCATACAAATGACACTTGTGTTTTTCTTTTTGCTTCACAATGTGGTGTTAAAAAATAGCAAAGGAAGTCTCTTTGAGCTTCCGCTTTGGAAAATTATCCATATTCGTCCTCACCTTTTTATTCAACAGCCATTCATTCAGCACCTACTACACTGTAACTACCAAGCTACAAGCTGATCTTAGTGATGCCAGGAAACATATAAATGAATAAGACAGTTTCTTAAAATTAAGTGAATTTTTATGTTCTTGTTTATTGTTGCTGTTGTTACGCAGCATCTGTCCTGCCTCCATGTATGACAGCGTTTGCACCATGGCTGCCTTGAGCCAACAAATATTTCTAGAGTCCTCTTTTAAGGCATGTAACAGGATTTTTACTTTCCACCTACTGTAGAATGGCATGTGGCTATTTGATTTTCTATAAAGTGACAATGTTAGGAGCTAACTCAACAGCTTCTCCACGTCTGGCACAGGAAAAAGCACTACTTAAGATGAGAGGTGTTTTGGCAACCTAGGTTCTAGGCAGAATGTGGTGAGCCAGGACTCACTGCTCATAAAAAGCCTGCAAAGCAGCCAAAGAATCACTACTGAGACCTGGCTGTAATATTCTGGACTCAAAGTTGACCCGTTAAAAGACTCACAAAAACGCATTAGTCTGGTGACTCCTGGATGTAAGTCACTCAGAGTCTGCCATGAATCAACCTTATACCAACTTATATACTGTCCCTTTTTTATTTCCAAGAACACAACCTACAACTCTTCCACAGAGTAAGAAAAATAAAAGCATGAGTTATGAGCAGGTATTGAGATTCGGAGGATTGCATGTGATTCAGCATAACCTTCCCCAAAGTGAGGACATACTTGTTGATGAATCTGGGAGGCAAAACCAGCTGCCCAGTGAACAAAAGAACGGGTCTGAAAGTATGACTCTGGGGTAGCAGAATGCTGAGCCCTTTTACAGGTGCAGCATGCGGTGGCACTGTGCCTGGGCCCATGCTGAGCCTTGTCTGCAGGATGTACTCAGGCTGCGTAGAACCAAATGTGAAACTAGACCTTCACTTTGCTAATGAAGCACTTGAGGACTTGCCACCTGAAGTTTCTAATGAAGTTCAGCCTCAGTGACTATTCCAACTTTCAGCCCAGAGTTTTGTCTTACTGAACACTGGATGAATCCCTGCAGGCCCACAAGCCAGCAAGCAAAAAAAAAAAAAAAAGTGTATTATATATATATATATATATATATATATGATGCACACCACTGAGCACTCAGGGCTGTTTGTAATAGAAACAAAGTACACACTTAATGGATAATACAGTTTCTTGCCCCAACTCTCCAAACCCTCCCCAAAGGATGATTCATCCATTACCATAACGGAAGAGTCATGTTAAGGTAAGTTAAGACCAAAACGTGGAGACGAGGTCTTATGTAAATGATATTTGGCTTGAGTGAACCAAGTAAGCTAGTGGCACTTTCTGGAGTTTGCATCATCCGCAGAAAGACATTTTGCAACTGGGAATGATAATCCTTTTAACTGTCACATGATTGGGTTAGAGCACTGCCGTTGTCCAGTGAAAGGGGGCCAGGCTGCTGGGCATGCTGAAGTTCTTAATGCAGTCCCAGCTCTTGAAGATAGTCATGAATCACTACTGCCAAGATTGGTAATCGTCTGTGTCTGGACCTGAATTTCACTTGTGGGAAATATTTTTACGAAGTTTAACATGTTTTCTGTTTTCCCTGAATGAAGGAACTATAGAATAAGGGAAGCTTGTCATTTCTTTTGAACATTACCAAGAATGAATCCAACTTAAAAAAAAAAAAAACCTCATGTCACCAATCTTTAAATTACTCAGAGTACTTGAGGCCCAGACAGATACACCTGTATCAGTATATCTCGGTAGCTGTTACTTTCAGACAAACCTAAATTTATATTCAAGCTCCTTACTTTTAAATTGTATCTCTTTGTGGTCTTAGCTGAACACTGATGTATTGAAAAACGTTATTTTCTCATTAATTGCATTCATAATGCCAGTTGTTTATATTATCACCATATGGATTCTGCAAGCATAAATATGCAGCTTGATTATGTGATGTATGAATGCAGTTTCAAGAGTGAAGTTGTTGCATCACAGTTAAATGGGGAGTGACAAACAATATAAGGCAGAATGGATGTCTTTTCCTCGTTTGACCATTCAGAATCAGAGGACACAGAGAAGTCTGCAGTGGACTCCGCAGGCCCACGGCTAAGCTGTGCGCTGCTGCCCTCCAAGCCTGTCTTCCACCCCAACACACCCCTCTTGCAGATGGTTGATGCCATCAGTCATTCCACCTCCAAATATAGAAAGAAGAACTTACAGCTGTGTTTGAACAGAAGCAAACAAGCAGTGGGCAAATTATCCTGAAACAACAGTTGTTAGGCAGAAGTCACTGAACTAAATTCCTTCTATGTTAAAAATATGAATATGGAACCACGATATCCTCTGGGATATTTTACAACTGTATACCTATTTTAAAGTGAGGAAAAATCATTACAAAATGGCAGATTTTCCTTGATTACACATGAAACACAAGCAGGCTGTTGTTTCTTGTATGTTTGTTTAACACTTGTATTTAGCACAGTAAAGAAAAACCAAAGCAATTCAAGGTTTGATCAACAGGAAGCTGACCTGCTACAGTAGGCACCTTTGGTCAATCTCCTCAGTGCAGGTGTTTGAAATCCTGAAAGCAGCACCCCTGCCGCTGCTTTCACCTGCCAAAGCATACCTCTTTATCGCGTGAGCAGGAGTAACGATTCGATTGGAATTAGTTGCTGGCAGTTGAACCTCCAGACCCTGTAGGCACTGACCCAGCTGTCTTCTGCTTTGCTCTTCAGGATATGTTCTGCTCACAGTTTCAGTATATTTCCCATGAAGATGTTATGTTGCTCTTGGAAGGAGTCATGTCTAAGGACATGGAATATTCCAGACAATGTCATTGCACATATATTACTGTATGTGTGTGCGTTACTAAGAAACCACCTGCATTCCTGAGGTTTTAAGGACTTTCAGGCTTGTCAGTAATGGTTTGGAAACATCACAATCTTTGCTGCTGAAAAGTCATAACTCAGAAAAAAAAAAATAGCACCACAACTGTCTTTGGCTGAGCAATTGCAACAAGGCAAACAACAAACTTCATTTTGTTGAAATGTCTCTAAAGCAATGAAATTACTATAAAACTCATTATTCGAGCACACACTCTTGCAACAGGAGGGAAGCACTTAATAGATAATATACAAGAACAATAGGTGGACACCTGGGTAATCCCCATAGACTGGGACCAGTAATCATTCCACTAGGAAAAGGTGAAGGCTCCTTAAGTAGTGAAGCATCAAATATGGAGCCCATCCTTGATTCTTCAATGAACACTTTCTTTTGCCATGATTGACAATCAGTGGGCTCTTTGAATTCATCTGCATTAGACTTAATGAGCTGTCAATCAAAATGCAAGTTCCTAAACTATAAATTGTAGCTTATGTTTGGGAACCAGAAATATGCACTTTAAAAACCCATCCAAAATTATTTTTATGTGCACCAAACTTTCAGATTTGCAATATGCTAATATTCTTCTGACTGCAGAGGACAGAAAATTCACTGAAAACAGGCATTAGCATAAAGAGATCGTATTAGTTTGCAGAATTAATAAGACATAAACAAAAAGTCTACTTTATGGTTGAGTTTGACTCAGGGGGTAAATTATAAATTATAATAAGTAATTATAAATAAATTATAAATTTTTCACTCTGCATCCAAAGGTGCCTCCCTTTTGGGGCTTCAGCTTGTGGTACCCAATGGTCTCATACTGGTCAGCACAATATTTTGGTGAAATAAAGACAAATCCCAGAAGTGATTTTCTAAC